TTATTACATGTATCATAGAGTGATGAAACATTATTATTATTTACTGGATGACAAGGTTTCGAGCAAAATTTATTCTTCATAATCACATCATCAATTATGATCACACGACTTCGAAACTTCAGTTTTATAGCTTCCCTTGCTCTCTTCTATTTGTCGTCGTTGGGGTAGTAGAATTTTCCAGATATCTGGGTGTACAGGTGTTGATTCATTCCCATTACATGTATTTTCAGTTGATTCGATAAACAAATTCTCCGTTATCAATCTCTCCCTCCATTCACCCTGTGACATTAGATTTTCAAACTGTCATCTTATCCCATCCATCCTATTGTATGGTTGTGTGTAGTTGCACGTACTCTTATAGCTGAACTATTCTCTAGATTTCTCATCTTATTCGGGTCAACCAATCTAGATTTTGCTAGGTTTTAATGTTCAGCTAGGCTGACTACCTCTGTTCTACTAGTTTGGCCTATGTATTTGACCTGACAATCATTCGAGCAGGGTATTAGATAAACTCAGTTGTTTTGTTTTAGAGGCTCCACAGGATTGATCCCTTAACCGACAATGCTTGTTTCTAATTGAGTTTGTGGGTTTGAATACCAGTCACTTTTATTCCTGTCTTGTTAAGAATTCTGCGCAAGGCTTCCGAGGTTTCTTCCTTTTATGGAATTACTGTTGATGATTTAGATTCCTTATTGTTGGCATTGTCTTGCGCATGTTTGACTTCCATGTCGCCATTAGGAATAGGAATGATTCAACACCTTTCCAACCAGATATCTGGAAAATTCTCCTACCCCGACGATGACAAATAGGAGAGAGCAAGGAAAACTATAAAAGTCAAGTTTCGAAGTCATGTGATTATAATTGGCGACATGATTATGAACAATAAACTGTGTTCGAAACGTCATCCAGTAAATAATAATAATGTTTCATCATTGTGTGATATATTCAATAAACAAACTAATATGGAATTTTCAAGTATTGGTTTTGTAGGGATTTGGTTTGATTGTATGGAGGATTTAATCATGAGCTGATATCAGTTAGAGAACCACTGGAAAACCTGGGAGTACTGGACAGCTGTTTCGTCCTAGTTTGGGACTTCTCAGCAGTACGCAGTCACGCTATGTCGTGAATTGGCAGAAGTTAGAATTCAAGAACCATTGGATCCGGTCACAGTGGCTCAACGGTCTACGAGCTCGCCTTGTAACCAGAAGGTCCTGGGTTCGAACCCCTTTGGGTGCGTACTGCTGAGGAGTCCCAAACTAGGACGAAACAGCTGTCCATTACTCCCAGGTTTTCCAGTGGTTCTCTAACTGATGTCAGCTCATGATTAAATCCTCTATATAATATGGAATTACTTACTACTGCGATGCCCAGGTTTTTCACATATATTAATTGTGAAAACTGTTTGTAATTTTAATTAGCACCTGATGATCGCTAACAAATCACACCACAGAACACAGACAGGTTAGAGATTAGAAATTCATAAGCAGTTGAGTTATGCATATGTACTGAGTGATCACTAAGATGAAATCAATGACATGCATCTAACCCTTTTTGTCACCAATCTAGGTGACTCAGAGTCACCGTGATCTATGAAATGATATTAGAACGTTAGAGGCGATCAACAGAAAACCCTAGATCTCTGTGTCATGCTGAATGACAATAGTCAACAAGGTGTACCTAAACACTGGAAGAAATTGATGTACTCTCTGTCAGATTTAATTGGCTTACAGATTTCCTGGTTCTATAGTCAATAAGGACTATAAAGATTCTGGAAATTACTACAGTTGAAACACAGATAAATAAGTGATATGTATCCATTTATATATATATATATATGTGTGTGTGTGTATGTTGGTCTCTCTTTCTGTTTGCTCGCTTAGTCTGTGACCATTTCACTTGTGTGAACCTGTCTCCTTTAACAATGTATATTCCCCTTATATTATATATAATATGAGTGTTTGTCGACAGTCCGTTGCTTGGTGACATATATCCATATATGGTGGTTGTTGACATGTCTGCTATATTCCGCTATGTATATATGGATCGATACTTCATTATAATTAGCCATTCATGTTAAGACTGTCTAATGATTTGTTCACACACTTTGTCTGGAACATTTCATATATATTTCGCTCTCACAATTTGTGTGACTTCTTTGGTGTGATACCACTTATTGCTTCTCCTTGTGTTTGGAAAATAGAAGTATCATCGCAAACCTAGTGGTCTTCTGATTTCCGCCTTCTTGCGTCAGGACTATTAGTTTCTCGACCAGTTCATAACAATAATTTAGCGACGAGTACATAACACTTAGCTTCAAATCTTATGTGTTTCTAAAATATAAAATTAATATAATTACATAATATTAATGAATACAAAAGCAACTGTCTTTTGAAACAAAAATATACAGAACGGTAATGATGTCAATTTGATTGGTTTGACGTTTTGTTGTACACATGTATATAAGAAGACAAAAGTGTAAGTGAGACAATTTTTCAACCGCTCATTGGTGGATGTCTAGATAAAGGTTATCATTGATGACATGACAGTGACAATGGGCAAAATAAAGATGATATTTAATTATTAATACGAGACAAGCTCGTATACCATTCAGCCACTGGGAACCGATTCAATGATTGATACATGCATTCTAACTTCTATGAATTCATGATTTATCACGACCACCAACCAATGTCACAGGTGGGACATCCATCCTCACAATTGACAGGATGGACCTCACTAGTCCCTACATCTCCACAGAACTCCAGGAAACTCCGTCCCGTAGCAAGTCACTAGCGAGCATCAGATTAATTCTCAAGAGTTGGTTTGTAAAGATTAAATTTGTTTTTACTAGTTTGACCATGGATTGATATCAGTTAGAGAACCATTGAAAACCAGTCATAATGGGGTACTGGATAGCTGTTTTATCCTACTTTGAGAATCATCGGTAGTACACCGTAGGCTGTTATGATGTTAGTCGATTACAGTTAACACTGTCTGAGTTAGAAATCCAGGTCATTCAGTACTGAACATATACCGGTAAAAAAGCTCTACATTCCACAAACAGTATTTTTGTGGCATTGAAATAATTTAATAAATACTACAAGAGTTTAGGTAATACTTTGATGGGACACTAGTAATTAGTGCGGTGTATCGAATTTTTTTCTCTGGTGCAGACTGAATTCTATCAGTCAGGTTTGCGGTAAGGCTACCATTCTAGATAGCTCGCCATCGTGGTGCAGATTGATTTGATGATATTAGATAGTTGGAGGCAATCGGTAGGAAGCCCAGTCTTGAACCTAGGTTTCGTGCTAGTCGGCACTCACTAGTCAGCAAGGTGTATCTGAAACCGTGAAGGGATTCATGTCCATCCCTCTGAGATTTGAACCCGCGTCACCCAGTGAGTGCTTCAGTCAGAGAAGTTACCACCGAACTATTCAGGCTCGCGAATGACCTCCTGTAGGACTGTAGTGGATACTTTGATTGGACACTAAAAAGGAATCGACACATCGCGAGCCCAAATAGCTGCCCACTGGTAACGTCTCTGACTTCAGTATTCCCTGGGTGACGCGGGTTCGAATCTCAGAGGAGTGGGACATGAGTTCCTTCACAGTTACAGATACGCCTTACTGACTAGTGAGTGCTATCTAGCACGAAACCTAGGTTCAAGACTGGACTTCCTACCGATTGCCTCTAATAGAGTTTAGATAAACGTCATACAGTACTTATGTTAATGAATAGCTGTAATCTGTCTAGAATGTTCAATATCATCATTTTCGTAATATAAATATGACAGACTTTCAAAATATTTGCCAAATACTTTCTACAATACTTCGCTTTTTTTTCCCTCTCTCTCTCTCTCTTCAAATGAAAATCCGATAGAATAAAACAAAAATGGCGCATATTATTCAATCTATCAATTAATACATATATGACAATTAAAGATGATTAATTTTATGTACGTGTATGAGTGTACGTCTGTGTGTGTTGGCGGGGTCGTCTAATGTGTATGTGTAAAGACAATTTAAGTCACTTGTTCTACCTTGTCCCAATTTTCAGACGTTAAAAGACACACATCCACCCACTGTCTATCTCTAATTCATTCATTCTCATTTTCGCACTTGACTTAAGTATATTTACACAGTAATTGATAGGCTGAATATATATATATATATATATATATATATATATATTTGACGTAGTTCATTTGTATTTTAATAGGTTCATCCTAAAACAGTTAAACATCAATATATCTATAGTCAGTCATGTGAACTATTCCACTTGTAATTATACAAAAAAAATCAAAAGAATAGCAAACTATTATTACTATTAATACTAATACTACTATTAGTACTATTTTCAAGCTTTCAAAATATTATCGATAACTTTTTTTTTGTCTACTTTCATTCTATTGGTGTATTTTGTTGAAGTAAGTTTCAGCTAGAGAAAAAATCGGATTTGTTAAATTATTATCAATATTAAGAATGGAATTAGATGAATTCTGCTTAACAATATATAACATTCCATTTGCATATCATTAATTTCCCCGCTCTGTATCACAACGCCTTGGTCTACTTCAATATCATTCATTCAATGTTCAATATATTCGTATGTTATTTACAATTTATTGTAAACATGATATGATGTGAATATATATCGTAAATAGAATTGATGCAAATAATAATAGTACGTACAAGTGAACAATATTACTACTACACATTTAAACAAAACAATAATGAATGATGATTTTGTTTATTATATATGACAGAAAGATACAACGTGAATAGTAGGCTTTACATTTGATCAATGTTTCAGTTGTCACTTTTTTGTTGTTATTGCTATTGTTACAAAGTGATTCAACAATAAATCATAAAAGTTCATGTATCCATACAAATTCTATGAATAAATTCAACAGATTCTCAGTGAGGATGAATACACGAGTGAGAATTAACAATCCTATTCTATAAATTATTCAATCGTGAATACTGTTACTGTTGTGAATGTGTCACTTTTGCAGTAATAATAATGACAATAAAACGGGTATAAATTGCATTTACGAAGGACGTTATACTTATTATTTGATTCAAATCACTAGAATTACTACATCACTAGTCAAGAAGATGTTTGTCTTTGAAATGCCAAGAGTGGTACTCATACAAAAACCATCACTGGCAATTATACATCGACTCATTCAATTCTTTATATTCACATATTTCGTTATATATGTTATGTGGTTAAAGAAAGGTTATCAATCATTCGATCGTCCCATCAGTGGTGTAGCAGTCAAAGTGAATGGTGTTGCATGGAAACACATATTCAAGCATCAGAATCCTGATGCGAATGGAATAATTGTGCTGGACAGTGGAGATTACTTACTACAACCTACACAGAATTCTGGATTTTATTTAATAACAACAATAAGACACTTTGTAGTACAAAGTATGTCAACGTGCAGTGAAGGTGATCGATTGCCTGATGCACAATGTCAAGAAGATGAACACTGTCCAGCTGGTTACCAAGCGGGATTCCAAGCATTCGGTTATGATGGTATCGTACCAGATGAGAACTCCATCGCAATCGATGAGAGTGGACATGGAATATTCACAGGGAAATGTTTGAAGGATCATGGGAAATGTGAAATATTCGGTTGGTGTCCAACTGGTGATGACTATGAATATGAATTGAGGAAAGAACGTAATGCGAAGAAGAGATTGATTCGACCACCAAATATTATAGAAGGATATTATAATTTTTTCACAGATTTACATTTTTTAGAAGTGAAAAATCGATACAATGATCTTACGCCACATTCCGTTGATCCTCTATTCGAAGTTGTCAATTTCACAATGCTGATTAAAAACAGTATAGAGTTTCCTGCATTTAATACGAAACGACAAAATGTTTTATCCTGGATGACAGATAGTTATCTACAAGAGTGTTTGTATAATCCTGAACACGAAGTTGATCGATACTGTCCCATCTTCCGTCTCGGTGATGTATTCAAATTCGTTGGGACGAACACCAATCGTCTGTTGAAATATGGTGGAGTGGTTGCCATCACAATCAGTTGGGAGTGTGATTTAGACTGGTCTCCTGAATACTGTTTACCGAAGTATGAATTTCTTGAATTGGAGAGTGTTCACAAAGTTCGTAAACTTCGAGTGGATAATTCCACTTATAGTCATCAAGGTGGTCATATGAAGTGGTCACCATCACAGTCAGAGGATACATCAACGTCAACCACAACAACAACAGACAGTTCAGATGCAACGATTGATTACACATATGCAGCACACACACCGAAAGATGAAGATGATATAATCGGTGACGAAGAGATTGTCACAGTTCATGAAGGCTCCGCTGTGCGTGTAACGTCATATTTCGGTTATGATTCAGAGAATGTGAAAAAGAGGAGACGCATTCTAGTTCATGTGAATGGCATACAATTCATTATCCGTGTCACTGGGATAGCTGGGAAATTTAATTTACTTTCATTTACAATGAGACTTGGTTCTGGTCTTGGACTGTTGGGTTTATCTAAAATAGTCACTGATATGATCCTGTTTCATTTTACACGCGATCGCAAACGCTATAAACAGATTACTTGTGATAACAAGACACTGAAGCGTTTATTAGCTATAGCTGCACAAACTAGTCTGCCTGAATCACGTCGTACACAAGTGATGCATGCAATTTATGATTCACAAGCAACTAGACAGAATGATATTCAAGGTGGTAAGGTGATTCAGTTGAACAGATAAAAAAGTAATCAACTAAAACCTTTTCTTAATAAATCAGTGGCAGCAGTGAATCCTCAAAATAAATGTGCGTTCATCCAAACTAGTGATACTCAAAATTGTAAAATCCCATTCCTTTCATTTCACCCCCTACCGCTGTGGTTGCATGAACTCCTATATCCTTAAATCTCTCTTCGCTTTTCACATTTGTAATACTGTTGTGACTGTGGATGGTATCATTCGTTACTGTTAAAAAAAGAATCACTTTATGAATCTGCCGGATGCCTACTGTATGGAAACGATGCAAGTTCCCATATATTGTGTCATTAATGTTTACAATGATATACTGACTACGTTTATCATCGTCTTCAGAAGCTTCAATGTATTCCGAAAACATCGTTAGGTGACTTACAGCAATCGTGTGAAAGATGAATTCACATCTGCATATATCCTAATTGTCTACTGTGATTTATATGTCTTCATCTGTGGGCTTATTCATTTGTGGTTTCAAGACTTGTATATCAGGCTATCATATCACTAGTGTAATTTTAAATGCTCCAAACTGCTATGCATCTTTCCTAGTCAGATTATGTCTCAGTGTAAGTCTTTGCGTGTGTATATATATGTCTGAATAAAGCCCATTCATTAAAACTAACAGGAGATGTTCGTTAACCAGGATATTCAGATCCTTACTGCCACTGTCTGTATAAATGTAAGTTGAATATCTTAGTACCATTTATAACTGAGTATTGACTTTATCAGTTGACTTGTATAATCCATAATGTTTTATTGATCCATACATCTTGAATATATATGTCATGTAAAGCTGTCGTCTTCTAAATTTATTCATGTTGTTGCTTGCTACTGAGCTTCACTCTATTTATCTGTCTGTCTGTCTGTCAATAAGATGATCCTGAATAAAACTCCTTGCTGATATTAGACAGTTGGAGGCAGTGGGAAATTCTCTGACTGCAGTACTCACTGGGTGACACGGGTTAGAATCTCAGAAGGGACATGAGTTCCTTCAAGTTTGTGGATACGCCTTGCTGACTATTGAGTGCCAACTAGCACGAAACACCTAGATCCATGGCTGGGCTTCCTACCAATCGCCTACCAATGTGCCCCGTGATGGCGAGCTACCTAGAATGGTGTCCACATTTCAAACCTGACTGATAGAATTCATACATTTATTCCCCTTAATGAATTTGAACAATGCAAGAACTACAGTTTTAGCAGAATAAAATGGTACCATCTTTTATTTCGTTGCCTTCTCGTCAGCTGCTTACATGGCAAAGACATTATTAAATATATCTACAACAACAATTTTAACATACTTGCACAGAGTTCAGTTTAAACAAAAATCAATCGATCAATATACGCATACACTAAAAATATATACATATATAAATATGCAATATCTGCACTGAACGAGAGGACTCGATACATCGCACTAGTTGCTAGCGACCAAGCAAAAAATCTCCTTGCTATTTTTTGTTGATAAACTTAGATTAGTTTAAATAGTACTTATCGAGTACTTTGCACAAAAGTTTTCAAATAAACGTTTACGTAATCATGTAATCACTGTTTAACTGTTGACTAGACACATTTATAAAGTTAACGCCCGTGCCGAGTATCTTAACTGAAATCGATCCGCGTTGAATCCTTTTAGAATCTTCGATCGCAATATCTGACCTCCAAGGAAATCTACAAACCTTCCACACCTACATTTAAAGTACTACAATATTTATATTCACTTCTCTCTCTCTCTTATTCGAGTAAATACCCAGACATTTTTCAGTTATTCACCGCTGACTGTTTTCCAATGTATTTTTGAGTGTGCAAACTGTCTCATATCATCAACGAGTGTATTCCTGCCTAAGTGACAGACGGTTACTTTGTCACTGCATAAAAATGTAGAAATTCAATTTGCACAATGTAGGTTGCAGTGGGTGCATACTGCCTATGATTCCCAAACTAGAATGAAACAGCTGTCCAGTACTCCCAGCTAGGTTACAGTTCTAACCATTGCTCTACTTAGTTATGTCACTGATAGCATAGCCTCGCAGGCACCCACCCACTGTTTGCTGAGTTTTTCGGTTGTTAGTAGATAAGATTTTCCTAAGAATGAATGAGATAAACGAATAAAATGGCTCAGTAATGACTAAGCAGTCACTTTGTCAGATGTGATTCATTGTTAGTCTGTTGATTTGATTGATTTATGCTGCCATTTCTTCACAATGAATATTTAAATTGAGAGTAGTTAAGAATCTTTGTGTCGAAAAATGCTCAAAATGATATCAGGTAGAGAACCATTGAAAACCAGCCACAGGGAGTACTGGACAGCTGCTGTTTCATCCTAGTTTGGGAATCATCGGAAGTACGCACCCACCACCAGGGTTCGAACTCAGGACCTTCCGGTTACAAGGCAAGATCGTATACCATTCAGCCACTGGGACCCATCCTATTCAATGGCTGGCCTCTGAATTCTAACTTCTACCAATTCGTGATTTAACGCGACCACCAACCATTGTCGTAGGTGGGACATCCATCCTCACACGTCCACCTCACTGGTCACGACTTCTCACTAGAACTCCAGGAAACTCCATCCTGTAACAAGTCACTAGCTAGCATCAGATTTATTTTCTATCCGTGGTCAACTCGTGAAAACAAAACTAACCCTTACAAACTAAACTATAGAAAATATATATCTTGAGGCTAGATTTTTTGCAACACTTAACAGCTCCTTGTAGAAGAGAGATACAATGAAAGAATAATTTACGTAGCACACTATAATATATATAATACAGACATATATGATTTCATACTATTTTTAGACATTTTGTTATTGACAGGATCAGTTTTTATTACGCATCATCCTTCAGCTTCATTTTTGCTCTAACACTGTTACAACTCACATCAGATATATATTTTCTATATAAGAAAAATCTATGCAATTTAATGTGCGTCGGGATAATTTCCATTTTTACAAACCATTATCCTCTTTTTCAGTCTATATGGAGTGGAATTTTGTCTGGGAAATTTCAATAATTTTCAAGTATTCGTTTTGCAGGGATTTTGTTTGATTGCATGAAGGATTTCATCATGAGCTGACATCAGTTAGATGACGATCGGAAAACCTGGGAGTACTGGACAGCTGTTCCACCAGCCTAGTTTGGGACTCTTCATCAGTACGCATTCACTGGGTTCGAACCCAGAACCTTCTGGTTACAAGGCAAGCTCATAGACCATTGAGTCTTGACAAGTAGGGTACAGCAGGTCGAAGGTGGAGCAGTAACTCATCGGAGAAGACATTTCGAAATGGTCGCGCTATGTCATGAATTGGCAAAAGTTAGAATTCAAGAACCATTGGATCGTGTCTCAGTGGCTCAGTGGTCGAAGAGATCTCTAGCCTTGCAACCAGAAGGTCCTGGGTGTGTGCATCTTGCTGAAGAGTCCCAAACTAGGGTGGCGGAAAAGCTGTCCAGTACTCCCAGGTTTTCCAGTGATTCTCTAACTGGCGTCAGCTCATGATGAAATCCTCCCTGAAATTTCAATAAAACAAAGTTCGCGTCCTAACAATTTTCTTGCTATGGTAGTAGTAGTACTTAGTTTGGTAAATTTGAGCAAATGAATAAACTACTTGTGGAACGTCATGATTATCAAACATGACTGAGTAATCCCGAAAGCAAGCATATTTGTATAGTACTATAAACACTACTGATTGTCTGAGATGAGTAGTTATACACATCAATCATATCAACTAGTAGTGGTGGTGGCTAGTCAGAAATTGTGTGATTTTTAATTGATTTCGTCTATGATGAGCTAGGTCCTAAACGTATGCAACAACCATCCGGTGTTTAGACCACTGTAATCTGCCTAGAATGCATCACTGGTTCATATGAGTGGTAGAATATCGTTTCATGTAAATAACCTTGCCTTCTTGATTACCAGTTATGCTCTCAGGCACATCATATGGTATGATGGGAATAACTTGGTTTCTAAAGGAAACTAGTGAAAAGTTCATCCCTTGAACTGTGAGTATTGTAAATTGTGATATTGATTTCAAGATAACTGAGCTTGATGATAGATAGTTTATTCAACTTGAAAGTCTATTTGTTAACCTGTCTCTAATGTATTTCACTTCAATCACAAGGTAAAGGAGTGTTTGCGGTCCGGGGTTCGATCCCCGGCGGACGCAGATAGAATATCAACTAAAATTAGGAAAATTTCACAAATATTCAGGATCATTCAAACCTAGATGGCCAAGGTAAAGATAATGTCTGAACTAGCTTCTTTTGGATGCACAGATTAGGCTTCTTAATACTGATCCCAACAGCCAGCCTCAGCAATATTTAGTAGTCGAACAATTAAGGCGGAACTGAGATTTGTTGGTATGCGGTAAATAACCCTGAAAGCGTAGTTAACGTCAATCTTGTGTTCTGTATCCACAATATGAGATAGAATAGCGCTGAGAATAGATTTTGTTTGTCCTTTGCTTAACCACCCAGGGTGATGTTCGGAAATTTGACGAGAAACACGCCTAATTGTACGGCCTATGTAACTGGTTCCACATGAGCAGTTAAATTGGTAGATACACATGGAAAAAGCGAAATTAGACAGTTCGTCTTTTACTCCCGAACGCAAAAGAGGAGTGGTTTTGAAGACGCAGTATAATTCGGCAGCATGGAATGCTCTTTTTGCCGCATTTCTAAGGCGCTGTGTTAGTATCTCGCTGATGTTGTCCCCAAGGAACTGCATTTGTAAGAATAAGTCCTCTTTAGGAACTGTTGGTATCATGGGCTGCTTTTATTTTAGATTCATATTCTTATCAAAAAAACTTTTCTGGATAACCGTTTTCACTCAACAACCGTTTAATATTATTGAGTTCCTCATCAAGACATCCATCCGAGCAGATTGCTCTTGCCCAAATGTGGTGGTGTGATACAGACAATGGATTCCAACGGAATATTATTCTCACAGTAAGAATCATTGTATGTGTTGGCGTTAACGTTTGAATACTATTC